AGTGGTAGTTAATTAGCTAGGGTTGCGAGATAATTAGGGACAACGCAGCTGGGGTTAACACCAGCGGTACGGCACGGCTCGAGGTCGATCCGCACCCTCCTTCACCAACGGCTTGTGAAACTCGCGACCTGGCCGCGAGTGAATCGTCGCCCAGCAGTGCTCGCAATAGTACTGCAACAACAATAAATTGAGAACGCCCGTTTCGGCGCCGTTCGCTTTCATTTTTCTCCGCGGTGCTTCGTGTGGCGCTTCGTGGTTGTCTCGTTTTCGCTTTCGTTGTTGTTGCTGTCGTTGTCAGTGTTGCTGTCGGAGTTTAGGTATTCGAAACGATAGTATTCGAGCATACGTGAGAGCTTTTACGTATTACGTGTGTTGCATGGAACATTTTGACATTTTATTGATAACAGGATATTTTGCAATTTTATTAACAAATTGTCACACGAATTGTCGTGATTAGCGTCAATATAAGTTTGGGATATTTTAACACTTACTATGTTACATGCTTAACAACAAAACTATCGACGATTAAATATCTTACAAGTAAATTTTCGGATTGGTTTCAAGTTTCATTGCACGATAAACTTTCAAGATTTCCTATGCAACACATGTAATGTATATACATAAAAGTCCTTCCACAGTGTTCGAATGGGAGAGAACAGCGGAAAAAACATATTCATAAGAATTTACCTGTAGGCAGGTAACGTTCGCGCAGAAGAATGGCGCGAATTTGCCCCCGCAACGCTGTCCCTGACACTCGTCGCACATTTGATCGTCCAGAACGTACGGTTTGACTTCGACCTAAACAACACAGGAAAAAAAGAAGGTCGATCATAAGGAATGCATTCATCACGCACGGATTGTGAGAAATGTAACAACGGTGCGACTTACTCTCTTGTCTATGTCGCCGTGTTGCAACTGAACGAATCTGGCCGATATGGCAGCTATGTAGCTTTGCTGATTGCTGAAAGCGACCCTACCGGCTCCCTTTGGATACTTGAGTTCCGGATCTGTATCGATACCGGCGTAACACACGCCTCCGTAAAGCCGATCCATGATCATTGCTAGTTCGACGGCTTTCAACGGCCGTGGTACACCACCGACGAACACCGTCTTCCGCGGATCCAACGGCATCGATGCGTCCAGCACGAAATCCGCGTCGCTCAATCGCCACGGTCGAATTTGCACCGGCTTGTCTTTGGTCGTTGGCGAACTCACGCACAGATATAACTTCTCCTCGTCTTGGATGCACGCGTCGATCAGCTGTTGCACGGACGCTTCGTCCTGTCGACAAAGCAGACACCAGAATTAATAAAATTCATCATCATATGAACACTGAATCTAACAGAGAAATGCCAATGTACGCATATAATAAATAATAAACTTGTACCAACATCAATAATGTAATGCTAACAGATGATATTCGTATAATTAAGTAATAAAAAAAAAAAAAGTATTGTCGATCGAATTTCTCGTTTCATTATGTCATACGCATCTATTGTGAAAATTCCACGTTGTCCATTAATCAGACGAAATGAAATCTCCAGCAAAACCGCGGAACCGAGTTTATTGATGCAGGACGCGAGTTTCTCGTTTACCTGGAAAAGCAAGAAAGCGTAGCCCTTTGGTGGAAAGTAGGATTTACTCTCTGCTTTGTGGGGCCAATCGACGACCAACGATCCGAAACGACGGAAACTGGCTTTGATTTCCTCTGAAACGAGACAACAACAAGGCGTTAAGGAAGAAATATATTCGGCAATTTGTTTAATCCGTACTCGAGTATCGTATAGATTATAGATAATCCCAAATGCTTAAATACTTCTTGATTGGTTGCTCCGTTTTTTATGGCCTTCGTTCAATATTAAACTTTTAGATTTTTAGTATCAATTTCAGTGAACATTCAAAAAGGGTTGAACCATAGTCCAGTGATCGCAAATCATCCAATAATTCAGTAATTCAGAATGAATTTAATAAAGTTTCCAAAATATATTATTAAAAATGTTCAAATATTTATTGAGTTTAAGTAAATTACCATTTAATATTCTTATTGCATTAAATTACTCTGTTCTTCACTATGTTACAAATCAAGTAACGAAACACAATTCTTATTTATTTGTCGTTTGACTAACATACCAGAAAATGACTCAGCGTACAAATCGATCTCTCCAAATGTTGTTAAAATGA